CGCCTTAGCTGCTTGAGCCACAAGCGCCGAGCCTTGTTTTCTTCTTGAAGTTTTACTGTAACTAGCTAGACTCTATCAGGGTGGTTTTGGTACTAATAGCTTGTGGATCAAATTAAATGCTATGTAGAAAGTGCTTATAAAATAGAACTCAGTGTAAAAGAGGTTTTTTTTTTTTCTTTTTTATGAGCAACTAGAGATTAAGCAGATTTACAGCTTTTTTGTTGTTCATTTTAGATCAACAGGGGGTCCTTCAGGTCGGAGTGGACACCGGATGGTGGCCTGGAAGAGACATTTAATCCTCTTTGGTGGCTTCCATGAGAGTACAAGGTTGGTACCAACAGCAAAAGAATCTCTTTCCTGGAGCATTGGGGTGGACTGTCAGGGAAGATGTCCTGCACACTGGTGGAGACTGTGCTGCCTTCTCACGGTTGGGCGCCTGTGTGGTGCGTTGCTCACAGGGGCCCCACCCTGGTTTGACATGTTGTCATTGAAATGCTTGATCATTATTGATCGTTTTAATTCTGCACCAGGCCCTGTCTAAATGGCCTGGTGCAGAGAGAGCTGGGGGCCTTGTCACCACACCGTGCCACCTGGGTTTCTAGCCACTCCCAGTTGACACTGATGCTGCTGACCAGGGACCTCGAGAGCGCTGGCCTGTAACAGTTACAAATACTCCTCTTGGGGCAGCAGCCACAGCACAACGTTCTGCAGTGACGCTCTGAGACCACGCCTCTGACTTTCTGTATGGTTTGCAGAGCACTTTGATACACATCCTCTTTACCACCAGGCAGGTTGTCCTCCCAGGTTAAAGAGGAGGAAGCCCAGGTGCAGGATGAACAGCAGGGCTTGTCCTCAGATGCAGCTGCTCATCTTGGGCCCATTTTCTGCTCTACCCGGCTTGCTGCCTGTGTCTCTGAGACCTGCTGTCGTGCATGGTCACCACCTGCCCATGTCTGTGACTTACTGCTGTTATGCATGTCACCCTTGCTGCCTGTGTGTCTGTGACCACGTGCTGTCATGCTTGGTCACCACCTGCCTGTGTCTCTGTGACTACCTGCTATCGTGCGTGGTCACACTTGCTGCCTCTGACCTCCTGCTGTTGTGCGTGGTCACCCTCACTACCCATGTCTCTGTGACCTCCTGCTGTCGTGGGTGGTCACCACCTGCCCGTGTCTTTCTGACCTCCTGTTAATGCGTGGTCACCCTTGCTGCCGGTGTCTCTAACCTCCTGCTGTCATGTGTGGTCGTGGTCACCCTTGCTGCCATTGGGAAGAAGAGCAGTTGTGCATCCATCCTAAAGCAGCTGTGAGGGTGCAGGTGTGGCCACCCGTGAGTCTGTCAGTGCAGGGACTCATCACCTGCTGTGGGGGCAGTAGGTCCCATAATTTCCTTTGAAATTATGCGTTATCAGTTGAGTCATTTTAAAATCAGAACTTTTTCAAAACTATTATCTGTTATCTTGTTTAAAATGACTGAAGTATTTGAAGGTATTTATGTGGTCATCATCCATATTAATTTGAGTTTTAAATGCCAACTTTTTGAGTTGTCCTACAAGAAGTTGCTGTTTATTTTATGTGCAGAATAGAATTTTACTGATAAAACAGTGGAATTTAGTGAAGTCTTGAACACTCCATGCCTCCCCTCCTCAGTTTGGGGGAAATTCTGCAGAACAGAGCTGGCTGAGCTGTGCTCAGAAAGTCCCGGTTGTCTGTCATCCTAAGGCCA